CATGGTGAGAGGATCAATGTTATTGGAAACTGGAAAGGTAAATGGTTTTCTAATAATATTAGCCAAAGAGATACTGTTCTTTGTAGCAAACCCCTGAGACCAAGGCAGTTACTTTATGACTTTAAAGGCTGCTACTTGAGACTAATGCAAAATTTGGCAGCAAATGCCCTGAACCTCTTACCATTCCTAAAGATCTGGAATCTTTCTCTTGCATTTTCACAGATCAGCAGAATCTCAGCATCTCCCCTCCTCCTCTTTTGGAATCCTAGACCTAAGATTGAAAAGCATAGATTTCCAGCACAGGTTCATAGATTCAACATCACCCCATTGAAGATTATAGATTTGGGATCCACGTGGCACTGGGAAGTTGTTTTCATTTCTGTAGTCCATTGATTCTGGGACTATCTCCTTGGCCTCAATTTTAATTTTACTATTAGTGCCTATTTTACTATTAATTTTACTTATAACGCAACATCTCAACCAGCCAATGCCAACTTGGGTTTTCTCTGCCGTTTCAAAGACAGAGAAAGACCCCTGTAAGGTCATGGGTCACAAAGAAATGACCACAAATACAGATAATCGGATGCAAAAAATATCCATGACAGCATTTTTCATAACAACAACAAAAAACAAAAGAACACTAAAAATAACCTAAATACCTAATGATCATGGAATTGTTACATAAATAATAATCTACCTAATCAATGGGAAATTATGCAGACTCTGAAAACATCTGCAAAAATATGAATAATCATATATTGAGTAAGAAAACAGAAAACAAAAACTGTATATAGCCTCATTGTATTAAAGAAACATATACATATGTAGAAAAAACTGAAAGAAAATAACCCTTATTTTTATAGAGATTACCACTATGTGGTAGAATATAGGTGACATCTCTTCTTATTTATGCTTTTCTTCAAAGTATAAATGAATCAATGAGTAAATGTGACTTTTACATTTGGAAATAAAACTTTCTTCAAAGGTCAAAAAAGATCAGTTGCTACATCAGGACCCAGAAAGCTACAGTAAATCTTCTCTGAGATTGGCTATTAGGAAGTCACTTTCTCCTCTCATTTTGAAGGGGGAAGGTATTGCCACATTATTGAAGCAATCAGCCAGGAGGGTTCTTTCAAGAGCAATAAAGTGACCTCTCAAGAGAAAATGGGTGAAGCTCAGGAAATTGGAGCTGGAAGCCCCTACTGAGTGGCCTAATGCATCCCTCAAGAATCACCGCCATATGTATTACACTTTCTGGTGTGGGCACTTTCTTTTCCATTTAATTGTAAATATTTCAAGTGATTGCAGTTTCACTGCTACTTTTTAGACCAGTCAACAAGCTATTAATCCATCTTCCCTGAGCAGAATATAACAACTCCAGCAAACGTCAGAGATACCCATCCAACTCTCTTGCCTGGACCTGCTAATTGACCACGTAACTTAGACCTGGTTCAAATCCTGGCACCTCCACTTCCTTGAGTAAAAGACCTTAGAGAAGACCCTCTACCTCTCTGATCCTAGGTGTCCTCACTTGTAAAAAGGAAACACCTTCCCCTGCCTCACAAAGGGTGCTGAAGGAATTAAGTGAGATGGTGCATCTAAGAAATGCATTGAGTGCACACAGTAGGTAATAAAGAAATGTTTGGTGATTCCAGAGTGTTGGGCTAGTACTGAGCAGTTGTTTTCCTGGCAGAGGAGATGGGCTCTGCAGAGTCAACAACCCATTCTTTTGTATTTCCCTGGATGACTCAGTGGGTTAGCGTGAACAGTATAGTTCATGATCTTAAAATAGCAAAATTCTATTTGGTACCCAAACCTTGGGCTTAGCCAAGTAAATTCATGAGTGTCAGATCACAAATATGGCTGAGACAGCACCCACTGAGCCTTTTCACTGTTGATAAGAACTGCAAGTGGAACACTGGCCATGGGAACAGAGCGATAGGATGGAGTGAGGGGTCATGTTTGAGGTGGAACCAACAGGGTTTGATGGATCATTCAAGTAAAGGCTCAAGGAAAGATAATAATAATACCTCCAACTTCCTACATGCACAGTATATTGATTCAACAATTGTCTATTGGGCACCTACTAAGGGCCAGGAACTGTTCCTGCACAAACAGAAAAAATAAGTCTCAGCTCTTGGTTTTCCCTTCTAATGGGGGAAACAGACAATAAATAGTAAACATATAAATAAACAAAACAATTTCTGGTTGTGATAGCTGTGATGAAAGAAATAAACAGAAATGAGAAAGAGAATAAGAGAATAGAAGGCTATTTTAGATATGATGGTCAAGAAAGGACTCTCTTGGGGGAAATACATGAGGTCATGGATCTGGACAGATGAGAAGGAAGAAAGGAAAGGCTTATAGGACGAAGAAATAGCAGGTATATAACCTGGGGGTGGGCCCTGGCCGGGTAGCTCAGTTAGTTATACTGTCATCCCGATACACCAAGGTTGTGGGTTAGATCCCCAGCCAGGGCACATACAAGAATCAAACAATGAATGCATAAATAAGTGGAACTACAAATCCCTCTCTATATCTATCTATTTAACTCTCAAATCAATCAATCAATCAATCAATTCCTTGGGGTGGGAAAGATATAAGTGTACTAGTATTTGAGAAAGGAGCCAAAGGCCTACATAACTAGAGCACAGTGAGAGGAGAGGATTGACAGGAGACAAGGTTTGAAAAATGGGCAGGAACCATTCACCAAGGACTAAGCCTTGAGAGAAGCAGGTTTTGGGGAAGACACTTTCACCTTTGACATGCTGAATATGAGGTGCCAGAGGGGATCTCCAAACTAAAGATCCAAAACTATGTCCTAAGAACTAGACACAGTTTGGGATTGGAGAAAATGTTCTGTTGCATCAAAACCACTGAGGAGTGTTCTAAAAATACTAATTCTCAGTTATTAAAACTACAGATTTCTGGAGTGCCACCCTGGGAAATTGTAATTCAAGTAGGTTTTGGTCAAGATCTGGAAATCACTTTTCAATACTCCCAGGTAATTCTGATCCATTCATTCAAGAACTATTTCCTACCTTCCTATCTTGTTTGTGCCAGGACAGTTCTAAGTGCTGGAGATACATCTCTGAAGAGGTGACAGAACTCACAGAAAAAAAGTCAGTGAACAAGTAAATGAAGTTTAGCAGTGATACATGCCACACACACACACAAAAATGCTGGGAAAATATAGAATAATTATGGAGACCTACGCTAGATAAATCTAAAAAGGTCTCTCTCTCTCTCTCTCTCTCTCTCTCTCTCTCAGGAAGTCACATTTGAGCTGAAGCTGAGAAATGAGGAACAGCCGTGTGACCGTGTGGGGGAACAGCATTCCAGACAGAGGGAACATCCAATGCAAAGGCTTGGTTGAGAACTCAATAGATTAATCTAATTCTCTGGTTTATTCCCACCTGATGAGCCAACCGAAATGGGGTGGAGGGCATAGTGGAGAAGTTACTGTTTCATCTGTATGTATTCATGCAGCGAAGTATGCTAGGCGCATACTTTGTACCTGGCAATGTGCCAGCTGGTGACACAAAGATGAGCAAGACTGTCCCGTCTCTCAGGGAGCTGCACACCAGGGAGGGAGGCAGAGAACTAAATACCGTGAATGTGGTCCCAGGAGAGAAGTGAGGCATCCCGAACAATCAGTTCGTCTTCTGAGACAGCCAAGGGGTGATTAACATGTTCAAGGTGAGCAACTGTTTTTGAGGCTGCGCATAATAAAATTATGTGCAGTCTCAAAAGCCCAGCATATCTGAATTTTTGGTGAAATATTTGCAACTTTGGATATTGCATCTGAGGCACTGTCTAATGACTATATGTGGGGGAAAGTGTCCTAATGACAGCCAACGTTTATCGAGCACTTAGATTCACCTGATTCGATATGCAATCTCATAGTCTTCACAAGGTCGCTAGGAGGCAGAGACTCTCATTATTCCACTTTTTTCAGATTAAGAAATTGGAGCTCAGCAAGGCGAGGAGACTTTCCTGAGGTCATTCAACTCATGGGACTGTCCCAGCTCTGTCAGGCTTCAAAGTCTCCCGTCCGGCCCCAACCCCTTCCATGAATGGCTTAGCTACTGATGAAACTATCTTCACCCTGTTCCCAAAGTGGATCCCCTCCCCTTCTCCCCATCCCAGGTGTCCACCTGGGCTGTTTCCACCAGCCAGATCCACCGGCTCCTGTGTAGCTGGGAAAGATGGAGAAGGATCCTTGTTTCCGCACTTGGGACAAAGTGGAGGGCAGTGCCTACTGCCTGGCTGTCCTCACTCCAGTCTTCAGAGGCACCTGGGCAGCATGGAAAGGGTGGGGCCGAGCTGGGCGCCTGTTCCCTGCCACCTGTGGGGAAAATTACTGGGGCTCAATGTTCAAGGTCTGAATAGAATGGTTTGGGGCAGGGGAAGCAATGTAAATGCCTCCGGAACCAGACAATAAATCGAAGGGAAGAGGAAGTAGTAACTGTGTGGCCAACTGGATATGGTTGGGTCACCTCTAGTCCTGTTTAAACGTAATCAAATTCGGCTGCTTGAAAAAGTGCACCGTTCGCCCATGGCCTGACCCGGGAGCTGGCCAGTTTGCAATTAAAGGGGCTTTGCTTCTGCTCCCCTGAAACTCCTTTTCATTCCGGACTTCTCACGGGGAGTCTGTGCGTCTTCGGAGAGGCTCTGGGTGTGTCGTCTAGGAGTGTCTTTCCCTGTGTCTTGGGCTGGCAGGCTCCCCCGCACCCCCCTGCCTCCCTGTCCCCTCCCCTCAGCTTTGCTCCCTCCTCCTCTCCACCCTGCTGCTCCCCTAGTGGCAGGGACTCTCTGGAGAGAAGTTACCAGCCATGGGCAAACTACGGCCTGCGGGCCAGATTCGGCCCGTTTGAAATGAATAAAACTAAAAAAAAAAAAAAGACCGTACCCTTTTATGTAATGATGTTTACTTTGAATTTATAT